TGGACAGAACCCTGCCCTGCCGTGAGCCGTCCTCACACGCCCACCCACTGCGACAGTCAGTGTGTCAGGGTCGAGGGTCAGCCGTGGAGAGGAAGACCCCCCACCACATGGATCCACTGTCCGCAGTAAGACCTGCAAAAGCCGGAACCTGCTGGAGAAGGAAACAAAACGCTTCCACTAAAATGTGTAACAAAAAAAGCACCACAATCACACCAAAGACACAACACTGAAGGCCTGGAAGAAGACGGAGTCCAGTGGCTTCCGGTCCCCCAGACTTCTGGGGTGAGACGAGATGCAGGGTGGGGGTGAATCTCTGGACCTTAAACAATGCAGATGGTCTGATTCTGGCAGGTGGGTAACGGAGCCTAGAAAACTCCACACCCACTGCAGTGGTCAGTTCCAGCTCGCAGACCTCCATCCGGGATTCTGAGACAGTCCACACTGCTGGGTGGGGATTTGAACTGCCCACCTTTTGGATGGTAGGCTCACACTTCCTGTACCCAACCAGAGTCTAGAAACAGATGCAGATTCAGCGGGTGGAAGTCCCCGTGGAGGAGGGGTGGTGCCTTAGGATGTGGGGTTTGGTGAAGGATCTGGGAAATCTTGGTTTTGGTAACTAAGGTACGTGTCAGAACCCAAGTAATTTAAACTCAAGAAAACCCTACTGCATTTCTAGGAGAAAATGCGGAACGTTGTATAACTTGGGCAGTAAAGACCTCCGAGCGTGACGCGAACTGGAGGCAGCATAAATGTTATGTCCACTTAACTGACTGGAAAAATCAACTTCGCAAAGATGATTGACAGCCCGGGAGACACGCTTTTACCAACCAAAGGGCTGGTTCTTTAATATGTAAAGTGCTCTCAGAAAACAACATCAGGGGAGCTCTGGTGGCCTAGTGGCAAGAAGCTACAACTACAATCCCAGAGGTGCGTGGTTCGAATCCACCAGATGCTCTGCCGGGGAAGGAGGGGTAATCTCCTCCTGTACCAGTCAGATCTGATTTGACGGTACACGCACACAAAAAATAAAAAATTTAAAAAAAAAAAAAACAAAAAACCATCATACACCCAGCAGAAAGCCAGGCAAAGGATGTGACAGGTACACGGCTCTTAGGTTTGTAATGAACACAAAATTCCCAGTTTCAGAATCATTGGCAGCGAGAGACAGATCTACTTTAATCTGACAAAACCAGGAAGGCATCTAATTATACCTCTATTATTATTATTATTTGTTGTGTGTGTGTAACATCAAATAATATCTGACTGGTACAGGAGATTGTTCCTCCTTATCCAGCAAAGCATCTAGTGGATTTGAACTGCACACCTCAGGGATTGCAGTGTAGCTTCTTGCCACTAGGCCACCAAAGCTCACCTGATTATACCTCTTACGAAATGCAAAGTCAGCTGCAAGATCAAGTTTTGGCAATTGTAGGGGTCACTAGCCCCTCCTCTGCTGAGAGGGCCTTTAACTAGGGTCAGAGGAGCAGTGGTTTGCACACACTCCTGCCCACTGACAGGTCAGTAGTTTGAACCCACCAGAAGGTCTGCAGCTCAGTCCTTATTAAGGGAGGCCTGGGCCGGAGGGCGAGGAAGGCAGGAAAAACAACCCCTCATTAATGCGCTTCTTTGTCTTGCGGAGTTGCTATGAGCAGGAATGTTCGGCACCATCGACTCATAGCAACTTCATGAACAGATCTGAGCCCTGTCCTGTGCCGTCCTCACCATCTCGGACACACCAAGCCCGATGCCGCAGTCACAGTATCAATCCATCTTGACTGGAGTCTTCCTCTCTTCAGCTGACCTTCCACCCTTCCAAGCGTGACACCCTTTCCCAAGGAATAGCCCCACCATTGGTCTAAGCTGTTTCGTCATCTGTAGAAAATAGAGCTGTGGAGAAGTTGGACATGCATCAGGATGACAGAACTGATGGCGTGAATTGTGCAAAGTACTGAACAGCCGTGGAGTCCGGGGCTCCTCGGAGGCCAGGCCGGTGAGAACTTGACCTCATGTAACTTAGGCATGTCACCAGGAGGGGTGAGTTCCTGGGAAAGGACAGCATCCTGGAAAGGGTCATAGAGAGAGAGGTCGGGTTTTCTCTTGGTTTTTTTTTTTTTTGAGAAGACGGACACAGTGGCTGTCATGATGCCTGCATGCTGGACATGAGGGTGCAGGGTGGATGGACTCAGTGCCTGTGACGACAGGCGGCCTGCTCACTGCACTTTGGTGAGGAGGGTACACAGGCTGGACGGCCTGCACGCTGGACATGGTGAGAGTACAGGCTGGATGGCTTGCACGCTGGACATGGTGAGGGTACAGGCTGGACGGTCTGCATGCTGGACATGGTGAGGATGGACAGACTCAATGCCTGTGATGATGGACGGCCTGCTCGCTGGGTTTGGTGAGGAGAGTACCAGCTGACAGCCTGCGCACTGGAGATGGCAGGATCAGGTAAAGTGCACATGTGTTCTTCGCTGCGTAGCTGGGAGTGGCAGTTCACTCTACAGCACAAAGAATCTAACTACCAATGGGGAAAATACTGTGACAGTTATTAGTTGTCCAGTCATTGCCAACTCACGTGACCTCTATCTGGTTTCTCAAACCCAAGTCCACTACTGTCAGCTCTGGGAACCTTCATGGGAGGACTCTGTCGTCCGAGGACTGTTCACCCTGATTATTCTTTTTAATACGCCTGACACTACCAGGTGAGCCTCTAGTGGCTTTCTGAGGCTGTCCATTGCACTGGGGTTGGGGACAGGGGACCTGAGGGACATGTGAATGGTGTCAATGTCCTGCTGTGCAGTTGATAGATTCAGACCATCAGAGGGGCTGGGCCTCTGGGTCAGCAGTGCAACGCCCTACAGACTAGGCCGCCAGGGCTCAGGATGTGCTGCCGAGTGGTAACCACCCAAAGCTGACCCCCAGTGGGTTTTCAGAGGCAGTAAATTCCACGGGAGAAGACTGCACATCTTGGTCCCCAGGAGCCGCTGGATGGACTGCAGTGTGGCCCCCACACCTTTAGTCAGGTGGAGATTGTACATTCTAACTGGGGAGGGCTGCCTCATTCCCCCTCAGGAGCGGGGAAAGACCAACCACCGACCTTGCACTTCACAGCCCAGCAGGGCACCTGGTAGACACCAGGAGTAACTACAGCACTAAATATAAGTTGAAATGATGAGGTATGTCTGTTTATTGGAACATGTTACATGCATTGAAAATAAACGTGTAGCCCTGTGCAATATGATGCCCTTCTGTGGCCCTTTTTGTGTGCAGATGGACATTCAGTGGGGACACAGAAGAAGTGGCTGATCTGGTCCCCGGGAAGGGGGTGAAGGAAGGGCATCACACACTGAATTTTTTATTGTATCTGATACAAATTCTTGTTCGGTTTTACACTGGTTACCCTGAAAGTATCAAGAGATGTTAACACTCTGTCACGAGTGAGTTGCTCGGCAGAGGCTGAAGACAGGAGGGAGTGTAAGAGGTGGCAGGTGACCCAGAGGAGACGGGCTGGGACGCCACGTGCTGCTGAACGGAGCGCCCACGAGCTCTGCCAAAACACACGAGGTCCTTTCCCCCTAAGGAACCGCCAGCCCCGCTGGTGGCCGCGGCCTCGGCACCCCGAGGGTCTGCAGCCCAGCGCCTGGCCTCCGGCGCCGTCCCCGCCCCGGTCAGCAGCCCCTCGCGCCCACACTCGCCGCTCCATGGCCTGACACCCGATTGGCCCGGACGCGGTGCTCGGGCCGCGTCGCCGCTGCCCAGGCCGGGAGGCGTGTACTCACCGGCGCTGGCCTGTTAGTGGGCCGGGCGGGGACGCAGCGGGCCGGCTGGGCCCCGAGGCCCGGAACCGGGCGTGGCCGGCGGAGGGCCGTGTCCCGGGGCTGCACCCTCCGCTCCCGGGGCCCGGAGAGCCGCTCCGAGCACTCCAAGCACCAAGTCCCTCGGCCCCCAGGGACAAACCCAAACCCAAGCTGGCGCTGGGACCCACGGGCGGCTGCGGCCCGCGTGCCAGGGAACAGGGCCTTCCAGGCGGGACGAGGGGCGCGGGGACCCCGGCCTTCCAGACGGGACGAGGGGCGCGAGGACCCCGGCCTTCCAGGCGGGACGAGGGGCGCGGGGACCCCGGCCTTCCAGGCGGGACGAGGGGCGCGGGGACCCCGGCCTTCCAGGCGGGACGAGGGGCGCGAGGACCCCGGCCTTCCAGGCGGGACGAGGGGCGCGGGGACCCCCGATGCGCCCGAGCTCGGCCCGCGGGCACACGGCGAGGCTACAGCAGGCCCGGGCACGCCTCTCCGCCCCCGCGCGCGGGTGACACGCCTTCGGGCCCGGCCGCTGCCTCCAGGGCGCGCCGCCACTTCCGCTTCCGGCCGCGGGCTCGGCAAGTGACGACAGCCCGCCGCCGTCTCCGCCCCCCCGGTGGAAGCACCGCCCCCTTAAAGGGACCGCGCCTCCCAGCTGGCACGCTCGCCGTCTTCACGGGCGACCCTATGCCTTCGTGGACGGAAGGCTGCAGGTTCGAGTCGACAGCTCTTCTGGAGGAGAGACTGGTCCTGGAGCGGGCCGCCGCGCGCGAAGGGCGGGCTGAGGCTCAGGACCCCGTGGGCGTCGCTCCTTCCTCCCCACCCCCCAGGAGACCTCGAGGCCTGGCAGCCCTCGTTTCCTGTTTGCAGCGGCCCCGCTGGCTCGGTTCTGAGGTTCCATCAGCGCCTGCACCCCCTCTGCACCCCCACGCTAAGCTACTGGGCTTTACATCTGTCAGTCCGGAAGGGAGGGCATGTGAGAACCACGGAAGCAAGAGGAGCCCCAAAATTTTAAATCTTTAATTTTTTTTTCAGGTGTTTGCTTCCAAAAGGAAAGAGGACAGAGCTCCAGCACTTGTCCATCATCGGGCCCCTGCGGCCGGGCAGGGCGGGGCCGCCAGGGGTTCTCATGCAGCCCCCGGGGCGGGCCGGGCGAGGCCCTTATTGCTGAGGTCCAGGCCGGCCAGGGCGGCCGCGGCAGGGCTAGGTGCGCTGGCTGGGCAGCTCCTGGGAGATGAAGTGCCGCAGGCGCTCCAGGTACTGGCTGTAGAGCTCGATGTCGTTGTGGCCGGCACCCTCCACCCACAGGGGCTCCACGGCCTTGGGGCAGCGCTCGTAGAGGGCCAGCCCGTGCGAGAAGTCGATCACCTCGTCCTCGGTGCCGTGGATGATGAGCACCGGTGATGTGATCTTGGACACCTTCTCGATGCTGCGGGGCGGGAGCGCATCAGGCCCCTCCCACCCCCGCTTCCTGTCCTGTGGCCCGGTCCCCTCCCCAGGTCGGCCACACCTGCACGCCCAGCCCCCCACTCCCATCCTGCAGCCCGTCCTCCTCCCCACACGCACCCCCACCTGCCCAGTGCCCCGTCCCGCCCTCCTCCCCGTGGCCTGTCCTGAGGCTTGCCCTGCCCCCAGGCCCCGCCCCCTCCATGTCCCCAGGCCCCGTCCTGTACTTTCCCTCCCTCCCTCTCATCCTCCCTCGCGCTGCCCCCCACCCGCAGCCCCTTGCTCACTTGGGGAAGGCGTCAAAGCAGTAGGTCTTCTTGGTGTCGGGGAAGGCGACGCGCATGCCCGAGGTGAGCGGGGAGTGCAGCACTACGGCGGCGCACTCATAGCGCGAGGCCAGGTCCACCGTGGGCACCGTGCCGATGCTCTGTCCGTACAGGATGATGCTGTCCGGGCTGATGCCGTACCTGGCAGCAGGGCAGGCCAGTCAGCGCGGCCACCCCTCCAGGGCAGCCCTGGGGGACCTTTCTGCCCTCGCTCTCCACAGCCACGTGCTGTCTGGTCACACCCGGGCTCCAGAACCCACTGCTGACATCCAGGCAGCCATGTCCTGCCGTCCTGCACAGGGACCTGCAGGGCTGGGCCCCAGCTCGGAGCCCCTGCCCCGTGTGGTGGACACGTGCTGCCCCTGCCCACCATCCTGCCACGTCAAGCTCTGGAGCCTCCCGCCCGGGCCTGGGACTTGCCGGGCAGGACCTGATACCATAGCGGCCAGCTCTACCCAGCTGTCCATCCTCCTGGGTGAGCAGGGCCCTGCAGGGCAACCTGGCTCTGACACCACATGGTCCGTGTCCTCCCACCACCACGGCCACCTGGACATCCCTACTGTCAAAAGGGCAGGGGCTGATGAGCTCCCTAACTTGCGAGTACACCCCCCTCAATGACTGCTGGACCTGAGGGATCACCTCTCTGAATCCACACCTGGTGCAGAGGTGGGTATGGGAAGCCCCACTATTCACCCCGCAGGAGCAGGCTCAGCCAGAGTGCCTACCCCAGGGACTGGAGGAGGCTGAGGGACACCTGGAAGGCGGCACTGTGGCAGGGACTGGTCGCTCACAGACCCACACCTCTGAGAGCTTGTCTCCAGGGCTGGGTGCACCAGGGGAGGCCCTCCCAGCCCCCAGGCATCACCATGGCAGCTGGACAAGCGCCTCTCTGGGGCAGCTCTGCACCTAGTCCCTGCAGGAACAGCTAGGGGCAGGGGGACTTCCCACTGTCCTGGGGACTAACCAGCCGGGTGTGAGAGGAGCTTAGCCAATCAGTCAAGGGCTCAGAATGACCACAGGCAGGGTGGTCAGAGCAGCAGGGGCCTTGAAGGCATCAGGGATGGAACTGGAGCCAGCAGGAGGCTGTGAGCTGGGGTTAAACCTCCTGGAAGGGCAGTGCTGGCTTCCCTCACTGACCACCACAGCCACTGCCTGCCTGTGCTGGTGGACAGCACTCTCCACAGCCCTGGGCACTGTCCAGCTGTCCTCTGGTCCCATCCTGTACCCCAATACTCCTTCCACTGTTCCCCACAGTTCTGTGTACGTCCCAGCTGGCCTCCAGCCCCACTCTGCTCCCCCATACCCTTCCTACCGCTCCCCTACAACGCTGTGCTCCACTGAGGCTGTTACCTCTCCACTTCTGGACACCATGCGCTGCTCTCCAGCCCCACCTGTCCCAGGGAACAGCCCTTCCTAGCGCTCTCTGACCCCGTCTTACCCCTTACCCTGGGAACCACCCTGCCCCTCTCCCCCTCCCTGGGTGGCCACACCGCCTTCCTACCACTTTGTGATCCTTTCTCTGATTGGACACTGAGCCTCTGCCTAGGAGGGCCAGAGTATCTGACCTCGCCCCAGGCTCCACATTCCTGTCCCCACATGAGGACACCAGGGACATCTTCCTGTCCCACCCAGGCATTCCAGGCTCAGACACGCCCTTTCCCAGGGATAGCAGCCCTGCGTGAACTCCACCTGAGGGTCTCCTGGTCCAGGGACAGCAGCCCCACCTGAGGCCTGGATCCCCTGCTTCAGGGACAGGAGCCCCGCGTGAGCCCCGCCCAAGGCCTGGGTGCCCTGCCCCAGTGACAGGAACCCCCTGTGAGCCCTGCCTGAGGCCTGGGTGCCCTTGTCCAGTGACAGCAGCCCCGCCTAAGGCCTGGGTGTGCCCTGGTCCAAGGACAGCAGCCCTGCGTGAGTCCTGCCTGAGGCC